AGTGCATTTTCACCACCGGAATTCAGGATGCCGAAAAAGAAGTCGATAAAACACTATGTGACTAATATAATTAGTTTCGCGAATTCCAGGTCGAAAAACACTTTTAAGGATCGTTCATCAAAATACTTTGGTAAGCTTTTTTCGCCTAACCCATTTCAAATATATCCACCCACACTGTCTAATGTCATGCGTAGCTGTGGTCGTTTCCTTTGCCCCTTTTAACATCCTATTCCACCAAGGAGCACAGCCTTAAATACAATAACCACTTTTCTTTCGTCCACTCGATCCTGTTTTCTCCAGTTATAGCTGTCTACGTATTTATACATTAGTTTCGCACCGGTAACCTAAATTGCAGAGAAAAATTACTACTACTGTGCACACACCTATTTAGGGTTGTGATCAAGCAACTCAGATTTACCAGGAATTGTCGGTCACAAAGTTCTGTTCATATCTCGTTGCATGCTTTTGTGATTTGAACTAATACAACTAGTCATGCGTTGGCTAATGGCCTACCAATAGTTGCATTTTTTAGTCTGTTTGTTTTGATATGGGACTTGTTGTGGGAAATTTTTCTCAGCATCTTTGGTCGGGAAGTTTCTACTCGGAAATCTACTATTGCAAACATTTTCGGCGTACATTTAGGAGTACTGATAGACTCACTGCTCCAGTAAGACAAACCTTCCTACGCCTAAACGGTCGGTTAGTTTTCCGCTGCAAGTAGTCAGCGTGAATTATATTCTTATAAATAGCCATGGATCGTTTGGACTAGTTCTTTCTGTGTAGTGTTTCCGTGGCCAAGACCTAGCAAAGAAACTTTAAATGAAACAATTGGCGTTCGGATGAGACGTTGATCTTACGCAGATTTAACTCTCACAATTTTTTGTCATCCTTCTTTCAGTATTTACCAATTTCCCGCTGAAATCTTGTTGAATAGTTACAATTTTTGAAACTAGTTTTCACGGTTCCCGAGGAACGCGTACATGTTTCTTCCCGGTTAGATTACCAGAGTCTGATTACTCTTTATTCTTATATGCACAAACCACATTGTCGTTCATTTGTTGAGGGCCTTTGTGCCCAAACCATTTATCTAGCGATTATTATGTCCACGTTATTTTTCGTTTAATTTGCCGAAAGATTTTGCTGAAGAGCTTGAAATACTCGCATATTAAATCGTCGCATCATTGTCTAAGCTCCTAATTCGTGTTTAGTTCTTCGAAATCTTGTTACTGCACAATGTTGCTCGCTTGCCACTGAAACATAATTCTGGTAGTGTGTTCAAAGTAACTGAAACCAAGGAAATCTTGTAATTGTACTTGTTGCGGCTGTGATCATGCCTGATGCAGCCGGCCTCATTGATGTCAGGGACGGTACCTCTCTATGCGTGACCATTGGCGGCAGCGGATTTAGAGAGCTCCACCCAGTCTTTTCTCCAGCGCCGGAGACCGAATACCGAATGTACAAGAACCACTTCCATGTCCTGATGGACTGAGTCGAGCCCGGTTTAGTGGTGACCCTCTCTTCGACGTTTCCAATTAGGTAACAGTTCTAAGTCTAGGGCAGTAGCACTGAGCTCTTGAAGTTGACGACGAAAAGCGTGTCCAAACTATCTCAGTCGTCTTTCCTGAATGGCCTTTTGATTTTTGTCGCAGCGAGTGCGGACTGTCTCATTTGAGAAGAAGTTGGTGTACTTCACTCGAAGGATGTTCCTCAAGCAGTAGGGTTCAAGGGCTTACAGATTCCCTTCATCTTCCACGTGCATAGCCCAACATTCGCATCCGTATAGAAGAACAGACCGCACAGATGCACGGTACACGCGGATCTTTGTGGAGATATAGATATTGCGTCCGGTCCATAGGCACTTTCTAAGGCTGGAGAAAACTCGTCGTGCTGCGTCAATTCGGGAGACAATGTCATCTTTACTCTGTCCATTCGGCAGCAAGCTCGCTCCGAGGTATTTGAAACTGTCGACTTCAAGTTGACAGCCACTTATTTCGTGAGAGGCCTGCTCTTGGACAGGGATGCAGCATGAAAACACTTAGATGTTCCTGGCGTTTATGAACAAACCGACCGATTTCGCGATCTCTTTCACCTGTGACATCATAGACTGTAGATCGCCAAAGCTTGAAGCTAGTAAAGCCGTATCATCGGAATAGTTGAGGTCAGTCAACCGGCGCCCGGGTGCAAGCTCAATACCGTCATTTTCCTGTGGGGCTTGCCCGAGAACCCAGTCGATGACGTAGTTAAAGAGGGTGGGCGACAGGATACAGCCTTGTAGAACGCCAGACCGAATAACCAAGTGTTCGGAGAGGTTGTTGTGGACTAGAACCCGGGT